GTCTACAGAGTAAGGTCCAGAACATCCTGGGCTACATAGAGAAATCCTGTCAAGAAAGAAAGAATAAAAGAAAGGGAGTGAGGGAGGGAGGGAAGGAGGGAAAGAGAGATGGAGGAAGGGAGGAAGGGAAGAGGAGAAAAAGGAGGGAAGTTAAGTTTTGTTGAGGTGGACAGGGAGTGGTTTGTATTTATTGCATTATTCCTTAATCTACATTATCCCATACTTTCCATGATTTTTTTTTATTTTAAAAAATAAACCTTCCAGATGTGAAGATGCACATCTGTAATCTGATCACTTGGGAGTCAGAGGGCTGAACTACATAGTCAAATCTCTCTCTCTCTCTCTCTCTCTCTCTCTCTCTCACACACACACACACACACACACACACACACACACACACACACTGAACCTAATTTACCACCCAACCACAAATCTAAAAATGGCTGCTAACACTAAGAAATTAGCATAAGGTTTCTCTGCTGGCTGCGCTGGCCTAGAGTGCCCTCACTTTAATCATTCTCACTGTGCCCGTGCTGCCCCAAAGGAGGAGCAAAGAAAAAGGAGATGGAGAAAAAGAATGAGCGGGGGAGAGCAAGGAATGGATGCATGGCTACCAAATGCTCTCCACAGAGATGAACCCAGGAGAAAAGGGGTGTGTGTGTGTGTGTGCAACTTTGCTACACATGTTCTTTAAAAAGCAAGACATGATCCCTTTGAAAATGCTCCTAAGTCAAATAAGTGTCCACACTGAACCAGTACTCACAAGAGTCCTTCGCCTCCTCCAGGAAGGTCAAAGAGACAGAGCAGGGTACCATTGTTTTTAGTGTGTGCAAAATACGTAGCTGGGCTGGGCTCCATATCATTTTAAGACATTCTGAGTAATTGTGAAGACTTATTGCCACATCATCTCCTTCACAATATATCAATTTATATAATTAACGGAGAGTCCTTTAGGCACCAATTTTCTAATTACCATCTATATACAGACAAGTATAGTCAGCTGTACCAAAATCTGCTTAAAAGCAAGGTAAATAATGAAAATCAGATGTGCCCTTATGCACATTTAACTCATACCTCAAGTAACCAACCAACCAACCAACCAAACAAACAAACAAACACCCCCAAATCCTCCATGCTAATATAGCTAGAAGCAAGGCCCAACCTCACAGGGAGAGATCTGCTGTGTCCACTCACATCTAGACACTCCAGAGGTCCCAAGACCATGGCGTCTGGGGAGGGCCAGGCCAGCAGCCAGCACAACTTACTAAGTCCATCCAAGTTATTTGTCAGGAATGAGGTTCTCCAGGTTCTGGGAGATTTGATGTGCTTGCTGGTAACGGTAAAGTAAGCCTGTTAGACTTAAGGCAGTGACAAGTGGCAGCTGGATGACAGAAGACAATATAACACTTTTTTCAAGAGATTTTACAAAATAATATTGGATCCAAATACTAAGACACAAATCTGGGTTTTGGAAATTCTCAATACATTTGTCAGTCTCCATGTATAGAAATAGAAGGCATATATCTTAGGATAGTGTCCATCCAGAATGTTTACGCTAAAAACCATGGCTCATTCAAAGCAATCAGTGCTGGTACCTATAAGCACGACTCCCCAAATTCTAAATGAATCTTCTGTATATGTGGGTATGGTTTCAAAGAGAGAATGTAGTTTGAGATGTGGATACATTCTGCAGGCAATGCAATTAATGCTTGGGCTTTTTTCTTTCTTAAGGTGCCACATAGTTCAATCCAGGGACCTTTAGCAAACTCAGCAAGTGACCTGCATCACAAAACTATACACCAGAGCTAATGCTTTGGTTTTTAGAGCCTACAAAACTTGTATACAGATGATACCTTATCTAAATGACTGAAATAAAAATTCCTGGCTGCAAATATGCCCTTGAGAACATATAGTGCAGAGGCATCACTTGTTACTGTGCCCAAGGCCACAGCTGCATCCACAGCACTTATCAACCTTGGTGATGGTCCAGGAGTCCAAAGATGGGCAGACCACACAGATAAGAATTTATTTTATTGCTCTAGTATGAAATCACAGGAATGCTAGCTTGATTGGGATCTATCCTAAGACTAGGCAAGTACCTCTCCATCCTTCCCACATAGTTCACCTTTAGCTCTCATGATAAGATACCTCCTGGGTCCAGGTACTACACCAATTTTTTTTTTTTTTTTCTGATTTTCAGGGTTAGGGATAGAACCCAGGGCCCACACATGCCAATCATACATTCTACCACTGGATGCATCCTGACATGTATTCTTTAACATTCTTTAACTCCCCAAACCGCCCCTTCTCCCATCACACCAGCCGCTGATGGGTAAAATGTCTTCCCAGGTGATCTCAGCCATGTTGGGGGGGGGGAGCAGGCCAGATGCTTCCTGAGCACCGGGAGAGGACAAAGCACACCCCATGCTTCACCCAGAAACACCCTCAAGGGTGCCCTACATCACATCCAAATCACTTTACCTCCACCAGTTCAAGCAAGGTTTAGAGGAAAGAACAGGAGGCTTGGAACCAAGAAATCTGGGGTTGCATCCCAGCTGCAGCACACAGACCGAACTCTTCACTGAGAATAAACAATTCCTTTCCTAGGCCTCAGCTCCCTCACACACAAAAGCAGTCAGTCAGCTGCTCAGGGAAAATGAGACAATAAATAGCCACTGGCCAGCACATAGTAGGTGCCCTGAAGATGACCCTCCCATTCGCCCTTCCTCGTCCCTCTTTTTCTCCAACAGGTGCTCACAGGATCCCCACCCTCCACCCCCCACTTCCTGTTAGCAGCAGCTTTTACACCTGAATCGTGAAGACTTTCTTTAAAATCCTCCATCAGGAGATGTGATTGCACAGCGTTGCCCAACTCTGGTTCCTGAAATAGAAATGACAAAACTGCAAACCGAAGCTAAAAGGGGCCAGGTAAAGAGTTGGGAACAAAGGCCTTGGACTTTCCCAGCCTTCCTGTCCTCCATCTTCCAAAACAGTCACCAGATTTAGCAAAGAAAATGAACACTGCCCAGTTATGTTTTGATTTCACATAAATAATACTCCCCCAATGTCCAGTGCAGGAAGGTGTGTTTGTTGAAAAGAGCAACAGAGGATGGAAACTAGGATTAGCCACAGAGTGACTGTGCCTCCCACCCAGTACTGCCAAAGACACCCACAAGTTCTCTGGCTGAGAATGAGGGCCTGGGGGAGTCCCGGGAAAAGCCAGGAGGGATCAAATTCCTGCTGGCGCCCTTTTGTGTCCATTAAACAGGGCAGCCTGTATGAAATCTGCCCACCAAATGCTTGCCATGTTTTTTATGTTTTACTTTTTATTTGTTAATTTAAAACATAGCTTTGTTCAATAAGCACATCATTCTTTAGAATTCTAAGAGTAAGGACTTGCTATCTTTGGGTTGTTGTTTTTGGCATTGCCAGGGCTAGAACCCAGGGCCTTGAATGTGCTAGTCAAGTGCTCTACCACTGACCTACACCCCAGCCCTAAGACCCTCAGAAGCAATAGGTGACCTACACCTGAATTTAAATGACGTTTCCATTGATGCATATGCATTTGCATTTGAGTTTCCTGTCTTAAGTGTGAAAGGATGATAAAAATGACACACAGAGATGCACATATGGCTCAGTATGCAAAGAAATACCATCTCTGTTGGACCGCTGCACTAACTTCTCAGTTGCCCCCTGGCTTCTGCACATCCATTCTCCTCCCAATCCAGTTGCCAAGAGGATCCATCTAAAGAGTAAGTCAACATGTCACTTCCCTGCTCAGCATCTCTGGGAACGTCCCATCTTACTCAGAGTGAGAGGCAGAGTCTTTCCAGTGGCCTCTAGGTCCTGAGGAACCTGGTCTCTCGAGCCTCCCCCTGGGTCTCTCTGGGGCAGCTACCCTGTCACAGCACACAGCATCCTTGTAAAGGGCTTGTTTTCCCCTTCTTTGTTCTAAGACCAATTTCTCCAGTCTTCTCTGGCCTCACTGTAAAGGCCTATCCCCCATTGCTACATTTCCCCCATGCCTCCAAGCTCATCCGTCTACTGCGTGTTTTATTTAACTGCGGGGTTAAATAAAACATATTGGAATATCTCCCGCTAGAATTTGGGCAGAAGTCACAGCATTTTGCTTGCTGCAGCATCGTCAGTACAGAGATTATATCACATTCAATCAGTAGAATTACTTGTTGAATTGACACAATACAGAATGTCAACAATGATGAGTTATCCTGGGATAAAGATGAATAAACACAGGATTTCCTTCAAGATGGTAACCAGCCAGCCTTTCGCCTTGAAACCCTGCACTTGCTCTATTCCTCGCGAGAGAAATACAGACACAAAGTAGATTTAGGAGTTTCCTGCTTCTGATATTAATACTTAAAAATATACAAGAGAAATACAGACACAAAGTAGACTTGGGAGTTCCCTGCTTCTGATATTAATACTTAAAAATATACAAGAGAAATACAGACACAAAGTAGACTTGGGAGTTCCCTGCTTCTGACATTAATACTTAAAAATATGGAGGCTGGTGATGCAGTCGGCTCTCGCCCAGAGTGTGGCAGACCCTGGTTCAAGATCCGGCACCGACATCAAACCAACAAAACCAGCGCTGATGCATTGAACAGGCTGTGACCTGTAACTCCAGGATTCACAGGGCTGGAGAAGGACAGCTTGGGCTACACAAGGAAACTGTCTCAAATGAACACAAATGAGAACAAAACCCCATAAACAAACCAGGGGCTGACACGATGGGTCAGCGGGTAAAGTCACTGACCTGACTCCAACACTACTGGGGGAGGGAACTGACTCCCAGGTCTCTACTCTCGGATAAAAGCAGTCAGTAAGCTCTAAAATAAAGAATGCGCTCCCACACAAGTTGCAGGGCTACTTCAACCCGTGCTGTTTAGAAAAGTCCACATTTTGGCAGAGGTCCAATCAAATGACCTTCAGCCACCACATGTACAAAGGCCCAACACGTGGAACAAAGCTCCCCTTACCTCCCGACTGCATCCTGAATGAGCTGCTGCAGGTCCACCTCCTGCTTCCTCAGGGTCCCAAAAGAAGAGCGACCCTCCACCAGGCCTTTGCCACCGACATTCAGCTTGACCTTCCCCACAACCGTTCCGATGCTCCCACTCATATGGTTCTCGAACTTGCTTTCATATTTCACGAAGTCCGACTCCACAACCACTGGAAAGAACAGAGCAGAGGAATCTGAAAGCAGTTAAGATGTCTCAGCGTTGTGGGCTGCCCTGCATCCCAGCAGCCCTCTTGGGGAAGCCACAGCGGCTTCCAATTGGTAAGTGGGCAGCTGTACTGTGTGGGCGGTTAGTAAAATGCAGTCGGCATGCTAACGTGCTGATCGAGCGCAGCTGTGGACTGATCAGAGTCTAGGGTGCTTAGCACCTCTTTAGCCGCTGTGATGGTTTATATTGATTCTTAACTTGAAAGGCTCTAGAATTATCCAGAAGACAAAGCTCTGGGCATGCCTAGGACGGGGTTTCTAGATTGGGTTAACTGAGGTAGGAACGACCATTCTAAATACAGAAGGCACCATTTCATTCCATGGGCTGCTGTCCCAGACTACAGGGACAGGACATAGCTGACTGCTGACATAATGTGACCCGCTCCCTTTTCCAAGCCATTCTTGCCATCATGGACTGCACCCTCAAAGTGTGAGCCCAAATAAACTCTCTCTTAGGTTGTTTTGGTCAGGAACTTCTGTCCCTGCAAGGATCAAAAGTAACTAAGATGGCCACCAGCTGGGGTAAAGACTGAAAGGGGATGAAAACGGAGGATGATGAGTGAACATCTGTGCCCACACTACTGTTGCAAACACTAGGGAAGCAATTTAGCATGGCAGATCCTCCTGCCTTGTTCGTCCTTCCTTCCCGCCACCCATCCTGAAGAACAGCCCCGCTCCTCCTCACCATCTCCAGCAAATGTAATGTTTATTATTATATCTGAGCTCAAGCCAGACATTCAGTTCCTTACCAGGCATGCCCATCCCATCAGTCCCCTTCCAAAGCACACAAAACTGAAGACTTGCTTGCTTTCTGTCCTGCTTTTCCAGACTCTAAGGAGCAAAGCAGTACTACCTGGGATTCCACTGTCAATCAAGTCAGCTGGAAACTACCTCACTCCTCATCACAGTCAAATGTCCAGCTATGCCGAGGCTCTCCATCTGACCACATACAAGTGAGAGCTGTCAGGGGGCCTTCAGGGCCCACCCTCTGCTCAGAGCCCTCATGAGAACTACCAGCCTTGGATTTTGTGTTTTTGTTTTTTGTTTTATTCTCTCTCTTTTCTCTCTTGGGTACTCTGTATTGGTTTGGGGGTTTTATATATAGAAGCCATATGTTCTACTACAAATATGTGCCCCCCAGGCCACTGCCCCCATTTTAACCTGCCATGATACAATCATTAAAAAATACAACCTCTATCCCACCATTTGGTAAGGGTACAGAAGAGCCACTGTGGGCGTCACATTCTGCCTCTTCATGTCCTTCACGCAAGTATCTCCTGGGCTCCAGACTGATCTTCAGAAGGGATTCCAAATCACCTGGAAGCTGACAGACTTCTTTCTACTCACCCACTACCACAGGCATGGAGTGTGTGACAGGACCAGAGGCCATGTATAACCTACAAAGGCCCCTGTCTGGTGACATGTTTCTGTCAGCTAGTCTCATCTCCCATGAGTTCACTGCCCTCAGAATAAGCCATAAGCTGGAAACCAGGCATTGAAAACATTAGACTAGGGGGTACATGTTTAGGTTCAAAATGTAACAGTTCCCAGAACTGATCACACGGCAGATAGAAGAAACCGGGAATGAAATGTCATCCTAGACACATCTGCAAAAATGATGCCACTTTTACACAGTTCCTTATCAGGTTGTAACCTGAAAGAGGGGAGCATCAGGCTATCAGTGAGCCACCAACAATCCAATCACCATCTTCCCCCTCCCTATCCTTCACAACACTCACGCCAGAGCTGGACACGAGTGGGGAAAAGCAGCAGCGATGCCGCCCGGATGCGATGCTGCCTGCATCCCTGCTTCCTAGCTCTGACCCCAGTGGGACCCAGGATCCAGCCTGAGCTCTGACCTCAAATAATGGTCATATTCAGCGATCTGTTATCTGCGGTGACCAGTGACATCACCAATCTAACTTAAGTCTGCATAATCTTTCAAGATGCCACCAAGTTGTCATTTCAACATCACAAAGAGAAATCCCAGTACTCAGCGGCCCTTGGTGTGTTTCGTGTTTTCTCTCTTGTGCCAAGTTGTGCTTAGCTATTTACTACTCAAAAGAGGTTCCACTCTCAAGTATATAAGACCTGGGGGTAGAGAGGGAGTGATGGTTGCTACTGTCAACCTGTCAGGCTCCAGAATCACCTAGAATACAAGCTTCCATGCATTCCTGATGAGGGTTGTCTAGATCAGGTCACCTGAGGTGGAAAAATTCATCCTAAATGTGACAGCACCATTCTGAGGGGTGGGGTCCTGGCCTGAATAAAAAGGGGACAGCCAGCCAAATGCTAAAATCCATGGCTCCCTAGTTGCTGGCTGTGGAGACAGTGTGACCAGCAAGATGTGTCAGGCCCCTGCCATGACTTCCTCACCTAGAACTCCCCCAAATCGTGTCTTAAAATATGCTGTTTCTGCTCAGTCAGGAGATCACCTGTGCAGGATGTACAAGGCTCCGGCTCAATCCACAGTATTGCCGAAACTGGGCATGGTAGCACAGGCCTGTATTCACAGCACTGGGGAAGTGCACGCAGGTTAGGAATTCTAGTTAAGAGGCCTTGGCTAGAGGTGAGTCTGGAACAAATTCGGGTTGCCTCTCCCCTACACCCTTGCCCGGGCCCCTGGATCCCCCTGCCCCTCTGTCCTGTCCCCATTGAGAGCACTCTTGGAGCTCTGATACATCCCCACCCACCCCCACCGAGAGCCTGCCTTCCCCCTACCCTGTGCCCTACCCTGCCCACTGTCCCACTGCTCTGGTTGAGCACAGGGACAGAGGGTGGTTCAGGGGAACTTCCGGGAGTGGCTCTGAACATGCCAGATCTGCCTATCCACACAGGACCACCCGTAATTTCCACCTGCCTGGTCTGTGACCCCCCCCAACACAGGTCCTCTACTGGAGCTCCGGGCCCCTCCCAGAGATCCGCCTATCTCTGCAGGACCACTCAGAGTTCCTGCCAGTAGGATCCTTAACCCCCATTGCAGGGCCTCTGCTAAAGAGGCCTCAGCTGGAGAGTGCCAGGCCCAGGCCAGATCTGCCTATAGGCACAAGGAACATCTTGAGTCCCAGCCTTCGGGATCTTTGACCCCCATTGCCAGTCTTCTCCTGGAGCCTGATCGCTGACCCCCATCGCTGGGCCCCTGCCTGTGGAGAGACCTCCTAGAAAGCTTGGACCACCCAGAGCTACAGACATCAAACCTCTGACCCACCTAAGCCCACCGGAGAAGTACCATAGAGAGAGGGGGAGACCCCAACAACACCTACTAGAAGAAGCTATGGGAAGACAGCAATACAAGAAAACACCTAACAACAGAAAGACAAGCATGATACCACCAGAATCCGGGGAATCTACACCAACTAGACTGGAACACAACACAGCAGATGAAGCAGAAGGGAATGACTTAAAAATTATCATCATAAAAATGATAGAGGCCCTCAAAGAAGATGTGAGAAAATCCCTTAAAGAATTGGAAGAAAAAACAAACAAGAAAATGGAAGAAATGAACAAATTTCTTTAGGAAAGTAAAGAAAAGGACAGAAAGCAAAGAAAAAACAATTAAGCAGGTGAAGGAAACGGTTCAAGACTTGAAAAGTGAGATAGAGAAAATAAAGACAAAACAAACTGAAGGAATGCTGGAAACAGAAAAACTGGGCAAAAGATCGGGAAATACAGACACAAGCATAACCAACAGAATTCAAGAGATGGAAGAGAGAATCTCAGGCACAGAAGATAAACTAGAAGAAATAGATTCATTGTCCAAAGAAAATTGTAATCCAACAAATCCTTAACACAAAACATCCAGGAAATGTGGGACACCGTGAAAAGGCCAAACCTAAGAATAATAGGCATAGAGGAAGGTGAGGAAGCCCAGCTCAAAGGCGCCGAAAACATATTCAACAAAATCATTGAGGAAAACTTTCCCAATCTGAAGAAGGACATGCCCATGAAAGTACAAGAAGCATACCGAACCCCAAATAGGCTGGACCAAAGAAAAAAGACCCCTCTACATATAATAATCAAAACACCTAACATACAGAATAAAGAAAGAATATTAAGAGCAGTGAAGGAAAAAGGACAGGTAACATATAAAGGCAGACTTATTAAAATTACACCTGACTTCTCCATGGAAACCCTCAAGGTCAGAAGGTCATGGATAGATGTTCTACAAGTACTAAGAGTCCACGGATGCCAGCCCAGGCTACTATACCCAGCAAAACTCTCAATCACTATTGATGGAGAAAACAAGATATTTAATGACAAAACCAGATTTTCATAATACGTATCTACAAATCCAGCCCTACAGAAAGTTTTGGAAGGAAAACTCCAACCTAAGGAAGTTAACTATGCCCACAAAGACGTAGGCAACAGATAATCTCACTACACCAGAAACCAAGGGTAAAGCAGGACAAATATATTCACAATACCACTGCCAACAACAAATCTAAAACAAGCAAGCATTAATAATCAATGGTCCTTACTTACCCTCAACATTAATGGTCTTAACTCATCTATTTAAAAAAAAAAAAAAAAAAACAGGCTAACAAACAGAATCCATCCTTCTGCTGCATACAAGAAACACAGCTAAGCTTCAAAGATAGACATTACCTCAGGGTAAAGGATTGGGAAAAGATCTTCCAATCAAATGGACCCAAGAAGCAAGCAGGTGTGGCTATCCTAATATCTAACAAGTTAGACTTCAAACCAAAATTAATCAAAAGAGATGAAGACAGTCATTTCGTATTCGTCGCAGGAGAAATCCATCAATGCAAAGTCTCAATTCTGAACATCTATGCCCCAAACACAAAGGCACCCACATTCGTAAAAAAAAAAAAAAATGCTACTAAAACTCAAACCTCACATAAAACCTCACATACTTATAGTGGGAGACTTCAACACACCACTCTCACCACTAGACAGGACCACCAATCAGAGACTCAACAAAGAA